ATATATATATATATATATATATATATATATATATATATATATATATAATTAATGTATGAAAATGTCATATCTAAAGAGTGGATTTAATTTATATTGCAACTTTTTATTGATACCCAGTAAATCAAATCTGATCAAATATGTATACGAATCAGATTAATTACAGTCTTCCTATTTAATTTAATAATGCAATTTCTTCCAATTATTGCAATTTTTGTATACTTCACCTGATGAAATATACAAATTATTAATTCCAAAGTGATTTTACAAAAAAAATATAACTACGACGTACATTTTTGCAATGCATCTTCATTGCAAATTTGGCATCGTTTTAGTGCAATTTTAAAATATTTTTAATGCAATTATATCCGGTCTTAAGTCATATATTGACTAAACTAATGGTTTTAACTACCACCAACTATACCTACATCATTTCATTTAAATTTAAAATCTTGGATGTTCTAAAAAGAAGTATAAGGTATAAGTAGAAAATTGCTGATACAGTAATATATGGGCCATATTATAAATTTTAATGATCTCTGTAAAAAAATATAAAACAGCAGTATAGCATAGTTAAGATAAAAATGAAAAGTATATTAAATACTCGTCATTTAAATCAGCTTTATTAATTTATAATACATGCAATTTACTTGAAAATAAAAATATATTTAGTTAACCTTTGACTTCTGAATGTTTGCTATTTTTAGAAAAGATAAATATTACACAAATTTCAACACATAAATATTACAAATATAGACAAGGCAATTGCTTGAATCAGCTATAATTTTTATAATAACTCAATAACTCTTAAATATAAAAATAAAATTTCAAAGAATTATATTTGTTCTTTAAAAACAAGTACATTAAAAATAATATAAAAAAAAATTAAAATTATTCAATTGATCTATATTAATAGTTGTACTGTAAGACTACTTTATCACCACCATTAGTGGCTTGTTGATCTAATTTTTGGTTACGGTTAAACATATCTATATATGGTACCCTACACTTCTACTGATGGTTTTATATAACTCACCAAAACATAAAATTTAATATTTACAAAATATACCTTTATAATTTGTTAGTTATTTAATTCATCACACTCGATGATGTAGGATACAATATTGAACAAATTATTATTAAACTTAAAATGGCAATACCCCCCAAATTTTGATGGAGTAATTGCTTCAATATAATATCTTTACCATGTCACCGACTTCCACAGACAGTTTTCATAATATAAAAGTGTACTGCAGAAATTATTTAATTTCAATTGCATTATAAGAGATCATTTTCTTTTTACCGTCTGCTACATTCTATGTTTCAATAAATTTGCCATCACTATATATTGTATAGATATTATACTAGTGTTAACTAAGTAGATCACACTCAAAATTAATGGCTTTTTTTCAATATCTATGAAGTTAGACATACATTTTAGGTGTACTTAATATGATACTTTTCTTCAAATTACTAATTAGGTGTTTTTAATAAATATTAAGACTTATTTTTTTTTATATAACAAAATGAGTTTCACAAAAAAAAAAATATATAACGATTGTCATTATGAGGTATTATTATAGTACTCTTTACCATAATCCTTATTATTTTATTTTAGAATAGTTTATTGTTTAAAGAAAATAATTTATCTTTAAAACATTTCTTTTCATATATTTTTGTAAAATTATTTTCCTAATTGATTATAAAATACGTTTCTAAAATAAAGTAATATTTATAATAGGTTGCAAAGATATATTTTTTGAGAATAATTTCCCAACATAATTTAAAGCCCATCAAATTGCTTAACATTTGTTAATCCAGATTCATACCAAAAATGTTACATTTAATCAGAAAAAATAAAAAAAAATAGTTTTAGACATAAACATATTAATTTCAGTTACTACTTCAGTATAACTATCAAATGGTAATTTTTTTTATTTTATGTAAATTATACAACAGTTAATACCAGATAGATATAAAAAAAAAAAGTATTACATCAAAGGGAATTTCTTTTCTTTATGATAAAGATAATAAAAATTATTTTGAATCAAATAATGAGTAAAGGGGATTTTCATATTTTGTATATTAATTAATATATAACAAAAAGGTAACAAGTAAAAAAATAATTTTATGTCCAGCTCTTAAAAAAAATGTATTTAATAAATTATAATAGTTTCTTAGTTTTCATCATAGTAATAATAACAGTTTCATTTGAATGTAATTAATGTTAATAAAACATGTTTAGTAATAAGTCTTTATGGTTATTTTACCAATAATTGAATAACAGTTAATATCTAATAGATTTTAACTGTAAATAACATATGGTGTAACAAAAGATAAAAAATTATAAAGTTCATAAAAACAAATAAAAAACATTTATTCGTTAACTGAAATATATCATAACTATAACTATAAGAAGAATTGTGATTGCCATTCCACCATATAATATATACCTATCTTCTTTTAACCTTTTTTCGATATACTTCATAGTTGTATTGGACAGTCTCAGAGAACCAAAGATTCCAGCTAAACGGTTACGGGTTGCTGTTAATCGATCACGTTGTTCACGCAAACTTTGAAGCATACTGGCACCAGATCCTAATAAGTCATCAACACCTCGATGTGCTCCCTGATATAGACAATACAATTAATTTATAATTATATGTTTACATTTAAATCAACGAACCTGAAGTGAATTTTGATGTTGTATGGAACTATCAATCAATATTGTTGTATCTGCATTTCTAGTGAACCTACGATTCAATAGTTCTTCACGTTCCTGTTCAGCTCTCAATCTCTTCAGCTGATTTTGCTGATGCGTTTTCAATGCAGACTATAACATTGAGTATATATTAATAAAAATGTATTACTCGTCCGAATAACAGTATTCTAAAATAGCATAATGGACAATATTCACCCATGACATACCTCTTTTCCACAACTTTATATTTAGGTTAACCAGTAGTGTTCCCATAGAGTATATTACAAATACACCGTATAATTTCAATATTATTTTGAACATTCACAGGAATACTATGTTTACTCTCAAGTCTTCAGCACTTCACGGTGAATTATAAAATATAATTATTTTTACAGATTTTTATTTTGTAGTAGACATTGAGTTTCTCTCAGACAAATATTGTATTACAATGAATTAATTATTGTCAGTACACTATATATTTGTGATGTATCAATTCCTTTGAATTTTCTTATTTAATGCATATTTATTTAAAAAATAAAAATGTATAAATCTCAATTAGTTGTTAATATTTAAGACCCTTACAACTACCACTACCATCTAAATCATAAAAATGTCCATATTCAGACAATTATCGGTATAGTATCTCTAATCAAAATTTATGGGAATATCACCCAGGTTAACATACTGCATGTGAAGTTTGAAGGATATTAAAAAAATGTGTATGTTTTCCTTACAGCACCCAGCTAGTCAATGGCTATTGTTTACCTGTAAATGCTGGTAATCGTATTTAAGTTGATCCACACGTAGTTTGGCATTATGACGTCTGGACACGGGCTCTTTGTGCACGAGAATATCGAGATGTTCACAGTTCCTAAAAACATACATAATACAAATTGATAAGAAGCTATTTCCAAAAGGAAAACAACACTTCTATAAAACTAGACATATGTAAGTGAATCATATAGATTACTGTGAAATGGTTAGTATTTTGGATTGCACATCAGCTTCAACCAGTTCAGATCTCGAGCTCTCCAATCTGTGGAACAGTTCTTGTGTTTCCAGTATCAATCTGTTCGTCTGATGGTATAAATTTTCCATCGTATTGCGTGCACAACTACTGATAATAGAACCGACTTCACAACGATATTCTGGATTGAATTATTACAAAGCTGTTCATCAATCGAACCGGTAGTGGTGGGCGACGTTTAACCCACAACAGCATTACGAATATTGGCGAAAAAAACAAAGCGGAATAACTGCTTCGTGTAGTTAAAGCGACGAGACGCCAACGGATAATGACTCTTTTTTTTGAAATGCTGATAACAGCTAACAGACACGTAGCCACCTAACCAGCCACGAACGGTTCCGAAAGGTAGGCGGAGATTTGCATTCATGGTCAGTGTTAACAGCTGCGCACATGGGTTGGGCGATAAAATATGTGAGGGAAACATCCCCACTGTACATTTTAAATTACGTACGTTGTATGGGAAGATTTTTCTCCTTACGATCGTAATATTTAACTCAAGTTCAGTTAAAAGAACTTCATCAGATTATTGGAAATTATTTAGACTTTACAAAACTATCATGCTTAACTATTATGCAGAAGTACTAGAATTAGAGGAAATCGAAAATGTACACAAAATATCCATGGCTAAATTAATAGATTATCTTGCAACTTATACTTCATTCAATACAATAATAATAAATATTTCTAGAGTTCTAGCGGCCAAGCCACACAGTGTAGACGTAGAACGTTTCATAAATACAAGTAATATTTTAAAATCTTCAGATCGTCAAAGTCTTCTTGTTGAAACAGAAAATGAATATTTGTTCGTCCAATTTGACATGCCACTTTAAATATTATGGGATATAAGACCTGTAACTTTGTTATGGATAAACTCATAAACCGTCGATTAAAAAAAACTTCCAAAGCACGAGAATAAGGTTGGTTTAAAGGCATTTTTGATCACTCGTTGAATTCTGAAGGCTTAAAAACAGATGATGTCTTAGAAGAGGAGGATATAAATCATTAAAAAAAAAAGAAAATTATATATATATAAAATATATTATCGTTATTTAGATATTTGTATTGTATTGTAAAATTGTAGTTAATAATTTCTAACAAGTACCTATTCAAAGTAAAAGTATAATATTGACATATTTTAATTATTTACTCACTAGGTACCTATGCCTCGAAATGTTTGGAATTAAAAGCATTTTTACGTAGGTAATCAATTCATATAACTGAGATTGCGTAATAAAAATAAATCAATTTAAATAGGTAGTGGTATACGTATAACAGAAAAGATCCGTATACGCGATGGTTAAAATTCTAAAATATCAATATACAATTTATTTGGGGAGGGGGTAAGTATTATAATCCAAATAAATTTTATAAAACAAACTTTTTAGTGTGTTTGGGCAGTAGGTAATAATCCTTAGAATAAGCCCTGTCTAGGGCTGTACGGGAGCGTAATGACGGTGCGTCTTAATATTTCAACTAGACTAAAACGCCTGGGGGTGACTATCCTCATTCAAATACCCTGCCCTTTAAAGCTGGGGCGTATCTAGAAATCGTTTATGGGGTAGAGACGTATAGCCATAAATATATGTAGGATATATGTATGATAAGTTGTAGCTTTAGAGCGCGACCCTCTTTTGGATCCACGCTTGCTTTAACGCGACCCTGATAATAATAAATGAAATATTTTATATTATAAAGAATCACAATTTTAATCAGCGGTCCACGATCATGTTTAAAATATTTTTCTACAACATTGTATGGTTTGACATCATCACATATTATGTTCGGATTATACATATTATGTACACATATGATGTTATTACATCCAGTGGCGCACCCAAGGTTAGGAATACATATTATTATACCTTATTACTTTGTCACTAATAATTATTATAATTGTATTGAATTGTTTTTTTTTTCAAATTTGTTTATTTTGTAAGATATAAGTTTAATATAATAGTAATGGTACATGATAAATTGTTTGTTTTTGAGGAAATTATTACTAGATTTATGGATACTAGCGTATTCTAAGTACTAGCGATTACTATTTACTATGTGGTAATCAGGGCCGAATTTAAGGGGGGGGGCATTGGCTACAACTGCCCTGGGCGCAAGTTTTTTGGGGGCACCAACATTTTGTGGTCGTTAATTATTTGCTAACTTGTGAATTATTGAACTTTTAAAATTATTTTGAAATTATTATTTTTTTTATTTTTAATAACAGTATCATAAATTAATGTTAATGTATTTAATTTATTAATAAATATTATTAATATATTTCTAACAATATAGCTATCAGCAATATAGAATATTATTAATATAGGTACCTATTATCAGTTCCCAAGTTTGTTGTAATAATGTCAATAAATATATAGTTATTTATAATAATACGGTGTATTATGTTATCGCATGTAGCGTGCGTTGGTGTGCCTACTACACAAAAAAAGCATTGATTTTAGAATATCTGTAAAGGTACGGTTTCCCTGCAGCGTCTAGACGCGATAGAACGACGCGTCTTGACGCGGCGTCTGAACGCTGCGTTTACCCTGTTTTCTCTGTAGCGTCAGACGCTGCAAATTTTATTATTTTATCCCATTCTTTTAGTACTACTGCGACCGTTGTCTCTTCCACACGTAGTTTCCACATACCTATGATCTGATTTTTTGATTTTTAAAAATGAATCAACATTTTATTTTGAACAGTATCATTAATAATAATAATACTATTTGCGAATTGTTGTTTCGTAATGAAGAAATTGAAAATGAATTACTTATGAACTTTATTCCAAAAAAAAGAAAACCTTTCAAAAGTTTGTTTTCCACAAGGAAATCCGAAGGGTTCTTTAAAAGTTTGATTAGTGGACATCTTATTAACGACGATGAAAAATGTCGGGAATTTCGGGAATTTCTCCAGGCGTCTTGACGCAACACTGGTCCGGACCGGTACTGACGCCGGACGCCGCGTCAAAGCGATTGGCCCGTCGCGTCAAACGCGAGTAGCGAAACCAGTCATACACAAAATACATAATCTAGGGTCTTGGCGTCTAGATGCAGCGTCTAGACGCTGCAGGGAAACCGTACCTTTAAGTTCATGAGGATCTATCACCTATATTTTCCGTGGATAGGCTCCTCAGAGGGGGGCCAATTTTTTTTTTTTTGCCCCGGGGCCCAAAATTACTAAATATGACACTGGTGGTAATAGTTATAAAAAAAAAAAAAAATATTTAAAAATTTTTTTTATTGATCTTAAAATACATCGAATTAGTCTATGTAAGTACATTGGGCAGAGGCATCCTTAGAGCAGGACGAGCGGCGCCCTACGCTCTCATCACAGTTGAACAGCCGTTGCTTTCATAGATCATAGATACAATAAAAAAAAGTTAAATTTATGAGCAAAAAAAATGTACATATCATTTTTTTTCATGTAAAATTGTTTACTATATAATTGATTTATATACTTATTCATATTGTTGTAAGTGCAAGGTACTATATTTATTAAGACTATTTGCACACGTTTGAGTTCCAATATGCAACTGACGCGCGATAATGATACTTTCGACATTTAAGGCCCTGCAATTTTACTCTGCCCCGAGCCCCGCAAATCATCTGAACATTGGGATATTTAGATTTTTAGCAATTCATAGATTTTATATTTAACTATAAAATTCAGATTAATGGTAATTGTTTATTAATTTATAAGGAAAATATAAAAATTTGTGAGACCCCAAACAAAAAATCCTGGGTGCGTGCCCGATTACATAATTACGTTTTATGTAATTGGTACGTAATTTATTAGAGCGAAAACAAGTATATCTAATTCGAGCCACGGATATTCTCGGGGGCAACCTTTTGTCAAAAATATTTATTAAAATTGACAAACATAATTTAGAATGAAAATAGGTTCAGGCGCCACTGTATGTCACTCTGTATTCACAAATAGTTTGAATGTCTTTTTCCAATATATGTTTACCCAATGGATTTTGAGAAGTAATATTTATTTCTCAATAAATTCTATGCACCTTTGTTCATAATTTCAACTATTTTAAAAAATATTAAAAACAAAAATTACTAAGAAAATCACAATGGCAGAATTGATTACTTGAATTTTATAGTATTGAAATATATAATGGCTTTTGTATTATATTAGGTGATTTTGTCATTAGTTATTAAATGAATTCCTTAAAATTGCAGTACAAAAATATATTTTTGTTTATTTACACGGCTACATATTGATCATTTATCAAAAGCAAACCTTTTTCTAGACATATTAATCAATTAGAAAGCAGAAAGGAAACTAAGTTAATTTTCAATATATTATTTAAATATTATAAAAAAATATAATTACTACTGATTTTTGTACAATAGCAAAGTATTGAACCAATGAAATGTCTTCCATTAATCTGTGGCCTATGGTATTTTTGTATATTTTTTGTTATCTTTAGATATGTTTAAAGCATTATTTTTATTAATTTAAACATGAATTGAAATTCATTAAATACAAATCATAATAACAAAAAAAAAAAGAAATTGAAGTTTCGGTTCATGTTTTAAAATGGTTAGCGAAAAAGCAAATTACAAAAAAAATATAAATAAATTAACATATTAGGTATCATTTTAATAACATTATTAAACCATACATTTTTAATATTTTGACAGTAAAGGAAAATGATGTTCATATATAGCATTAGAGATTATATTACACTATAATATTAATAAAATAATTGATACAACATCCTTGGATTACCAATATACAAATCATTAATTTATATAAAATAAAATATATTATCAAGTGAAATTATATAATTCTACAGTCATTCTATAGTTTATTTTCAGAATTAAAAAACAAATACCTTAAGTATTATATTTAAATTGTATTAACTTTTCTGTTTTGTACTTGGAATAAGACAGACATATATTCTGTCATACACAGTATTATACAGTTAATAAATGTAATTCATATATTATGAATTCAAGATAGTTAACTTATAATATTACACAATTCAGAGCCTATTATGATGGGTTATAATTATTGGTGTTTTCTTACAATATTATTTGTTTAATATCCTAATAAATATAATGTATATTATTACAATAAAAATAATTAAATATATAAGAGTAATGATTAAATAAAAAGTAAAATATGTAATAAATAATGCTATTATCAAGTAACTTGAAAATATTGTATGTAAAGGCAAGATGATTAATAAAAAAAATCTTAATTTATTTATTTATAAACAATTTCTATACATTTCGTTTTTTTTTAAGAAAACAATAACATTTGAAAATATTTTTTTTAGATAAAATATAATATTTGTTTTACACATTATTACACATATAACACTTTACAAAACATTAACTACAATATAAAAATTAGAACATACACTATTTAGAATGCCTCTAAAGTTATGATACTGAAATGGTGGTATGTATAATTACACCCAGGCATTAATTAAAGGCTTTAAAATTGGAATGGGGTAAAATGAGACATATAGAAAATAGATTGCATAGAAAAACAAAATATATCAATAGGCTACTATAACTGTCAAATAATATAAACAGTAAGAAATTAATATGGAATAACAATAATTAAGAAAAAAATATTTTTTTGATTTCATATGGTACTTGAAACAAATAATACAACGTATATGTTAGTAAAGCAATATTAATATTAAGGAGTAATAACAATTTGGTGAGAATTGGACGCGTATACATATATTTAAATTTATTATAACATAATTGGGAGCTATTATAATAGTACGGGAATACAAATTTATTGCTTTCAACAAATTGCACAGATAATACATATATTTTATGTATGTTAACCAATAGTCATTAAATTATTATCATCAGTCGCTTATCTATCCAAAAAGCTTCTCAAAACACGAATGGCAGTACGGTTTATCATTTTGTTCTTTGAAAGTCCCCTTGTTGAGCTGTTTCAGGCAAAAAGCACACACAAAATGCTCTGGATGGAATTTCTTAAACATTGCAGTAATACAACGGCCAGCAATTGGCTTGTGACATCCAGCACACAAAGATCCACGTTTAGCATGGTAATGTGTTTCACAATAGGGGTGGCCTTCGTGATCAAAGAATTGGCCACTAGCAAATGGTATACGGCAGTCCTGTAAATACAGATGCCGGTCAGTATACAGACACATATAGATTTGATAGTCGGTTGAGATTTGTACCACAATAAGAATAAATTATCAAAATTAAATTGACAATAGATTTTTTTTTTAAATTTCAGGTTTTCTTTTTCAAACAACAGCAATAAGGATAAAAATGCAATGCAATTTTGGACTTAACAATATTAAATAATTCAACAATAGTCAATCAATATCAGACATTATTCTAATCATGGTACAATAGAAATCACAACAATTGTTTTCATAATAAAGATATAGTTTAATAATATATTTATTTTTTTTTATTTAACATGCATGAGTTATATTTTGATTGTACAATAGTATGAAATAAGATTATGAACATTCTACATTGATAATGTCGTAGAAACAAAAATAATAATCAATCCTCCTCATCGACACCGACACATTTTGCACATGCTGGTTTTCCTTCGATTGCATAAAACGACTTGCCAGTGACCGGTTCTTTGCAGTCCTACAATGCACATAATTTTGCAGCCGATCGTTAGATGGCTGTTTAAGTAGTTTATTCAGTTAAGAAGAAAAACGAGTAGTAAAATTCAATGTTATGTTTGACATTTTGAGAAAGATAGTTAATGAGCATTAAAACAGCATTCAAGGTTAAAAGAAAATGAAACTTATTTCAAAGTTTTGATAAAAAAAAAACTTTTTTAGTACAAGGAACGTGTCAATCTTTTCGTATAACAGAACAAACATTTGTTTTGTTCGGGATGCAATTTGTTAGCGATTAAAAAAATGGAATCACCAAAATGGCATGTTAGTTTTGATTCGCCTACACAGCAATAGATCTTATAAATAGCAGCTATGAATTTTGGAGCTTACTGGTCTAATGCCAAGCACGTTTTACGTGAAAATAATATGCATTTGTAAATTTCAATGACCTAGAAATGATGGCTAAAAATAAACTCACACATTTTCAAATTACAAAATAACTTTAACTGACGAATTACTGAAAACATATAAAAAAAACAAAACATTGATACAAAAGCACTTAAGTGACGACCGTAGCTTACCCTGCAGACGAAACAGTTTGAATGCCACTGAGTGGATAAGGCCGAAACGTAGTTCTCTGTTATTGGCCGAGTGCATCCACCGCACTTGGGAGCGAACATGTCGAAGTAGTCGTCCTTGCAGTACGGGCGTCCCTCCCGCTCGTGGAATCCTTCCTCGCCGAATTGTTTGCCGCATTGGGCGCAGAAAAAGTGTTCCGTGTGCCATGTCTTCTCCAAGGCCGTCACACATTTCTAAAACGAGTACACACATATAAATATATAATGCACAGAACGCACACCGAGAACAGGATAATTGTCGTGCGAATCCGTCCGCGCGTTGCAACGGATTCGGAAGGAAATCCTTACGTCTAATATGGGTCCGTTGCAGTACGCGCATCTGGGCGAGAACAGATTGTGGTAGTCCGGTTCGCAGTACGGCCGTCCTTCGCGTTCGAAGAAGTTTCGCGTGCCCAATTCTTGGTTGCAATGGTTGCAGATGAAGTGCTCCGGGTGCCAAGTCTTGCCCAAAGCCGTTATCACTTGACCAACGATGGCTTTGTCGCATGCAGTGCAACATCCTTTCTGCGTTGTGTTCACGCCTTGCCTGTTCATCTCGGCGGTCAGACTTCCTAGCATGCAATCCAATGGTGCGGCTGCGTCCACCGACTCGGTAGCGTAACTTGCTTGCACTGGGCTGGATACCTGTCGATGAAACGTAGACTTTGTAACAAGTGGTCGGACGAAATAATAATTGTGTAAATTTTTTTGGTTAAAATATTTTCGGTTTTTTGGTTTATTTATTTATTTTTTAATTGTACAAAATATACAGTTTACAACTTTTGGAATATTATGACAGTCACTGACAGAATTGTTTTGGTTGTGAAACGTCTATGGGAAGAACATCGGTATATAAAACTTAGTTGTTTTGCCAATAGCTGCCAAACTCCGCCCGCATGACGTGAGAAGGGACAAAATGAAAAGTCTCGTTAAAAAGTTATTTCTGTAAACTACCAATAATGGGTAAAACAACAAAAAGTGGTCTTCTGGTCTGCACAAGGCACTACAGTTCCCTTTCTACCGTTGAAAATAAAATTGCTTTAAATCATGTTGACAGTGACTAACCAGTCAACTGTGGTTGGCGAAAGTCCCACCCCGTGGTTACTTTAGAATCTTCAGACTTAAACAAAACGATATACATTATATTGAAGGTCCTTTACGAATTAATATATATATTTTTTTATTGTGTGGTCACCAGAATATCTATTAGTTAGAAAAATAGACGTGATGGTCGGCGTATCCGATTAATAACTTTTATAGAGCTTCATAAAGCTTTTTGCTTATAAATAATATACGGCTGTTGTTGTTATCAGATGATAGTTTATTTCTTTTGTTTAGGATATTTCTGAAAATAAAAGAACATTAAATGTTCAAAATAATAAGTAATTTAAATTTTAATTTTAAATTTCTAAATAATTTTTAAATGTTCATTAAATGTGCCCCACAAATTTTGTGAAACACAAATAAAATAACGTGGTATTTGTACTATATTTTAAGTATACAAACTAGTAAATATATTATATTCTCAGGTAATCAAAACAAAATTAAGACATTTTCAAATACTCTGTCTTATCTTAATAAACAGTTATTTTACAATAAATTTTTAAGTATAAAATAATATTAGTATTAAGTAGTTCAGAATAATTGTTGGTAAAAAATTATATTAATTTTATATAATCAATAATTAACTATCAACATTAACACAAAACACATTAATTTATTTTGAATACAATTATTTAATAAGTAGGTAATCAATTACAAGAAAATATGAATCACTTAAATCATTTAATTTTGAAACTATGATCAATTTTATTATTTTGTTCCTCATAGAACCAATGAATATATTATTCATAAATAATTGCCATTGCGTGACCTTAGTTCTATTTCTATAAATGTAATTGATTTTTTACGCATTTAAAATTATTTAAAGTTGTACTGTAATATTAATAATATATATTTGTATTAAAACTAAAATCATGTTTAATATATGTTTGATTCTATTTGTATATTACTTTACGTAGAAAATAATTTGTTTATAATTATAGACTAGTGGTATTTTTAAAATGTTGAAATAAATATTAGAAATAATAAAAGTAAACATAAAACTTAATATTTAATTTTTTTTTTAACGTCAAAATAACACGGTTCGTTCTATTTTAATGAACATTTTTCATGAAAAAAGTTATAAGATAATTTTAATAAAAAAGAAAATTTTTAAGTATCTACTATACATTACACTTTAAAGTATATTCCTAGAACCAATAACTGTGAAACATAGAAAGTGACGCGTTTCTTTTACCTTGTCAAATTGTCAATAGTTGTCTTTAATAGGAATTAATATTTATTATACAATGCGGTTCTGCCTATACAAGAGATAGAACTACTAAAGCTTTAATTATTAAATACTATTAATTAAATCTTTATTAAATAGTAATAGATTCTTTAGTAAACAACGAAAATTAAAAAAATAATCACAAGGAATTGTTTTTAAAACTGAATAAATTGCATAATTTATAATATACTGTTACTTATAATAAATAATAAATAAATATAACTCAATTATTAAATAAATAAATATAAATAACAAATAATATGTATAAATAATATAAAAAATAAAACGGAAAAAAAAATTAAAAACCAATATTATATAAGAACATACTCATTATAAATAAGATTTTAGAATTACCTGATCTAAAGAAATGGGGATAACCCGTTTGGACGCATATATGAAAACACCTTAAGGCACAATAGGTACTGTAATTAGTAATCGAAAGTCTTGTGTAATCGAGTTGGTTTCATAAAATACAAAATTGCAAACATTTGTTGAAACATTACACCGAGGATACAGATACTAGGGTTTAACTTCAACATTTTTTTTAGCTTGAGTTTTTTATCATCTGATGAGGTTGAATTTAGTTATGTTGAGTTTATGTCTATAGCGCCATCTGATATAACAGACTTTACTGATTATGTATTTGACAATTATATATCTGAAGATTCACAATTTCGATTTCTTAGTTGGGCTAAAGAGTCAAAAACATACCTCAGAACAACTAATGGACCGGAATATTTACATTCAAATTATAATCAACAATTTTATAAACAACATTCAAATCATCAAAATGTTATAAACGTATTGATTGAAATTCAAATGGAGACCAATTTTTTAAAAATAAACAGCATTGAAAAAAAAATAACTAATAAATTAAAAAAAGAAACTGAAGAAAAAAAAAAATTTGTACAAAAATGCTAGGAAACTTGTAAAATTGAAAAAATATATTGAATTACATAAAAAAATTAGGATCACGTTTTGCGGGAAAAAAATTAATTTATCACATAAAATGTGATACATAAAAAGATCGCAATATAGAATAATATTAATAAATAATTAACTAATAATGAACAAAAATTAAATTAGGACCTATAAATAAAAAAAATCTCAAAATAGTTTTGGAAACTACTGGAACTACTCGCGGTGTCTTCTGGATAACGCTAATAGGCTCAGATTTAGTGCAATATGTTAATATATGTAAAGAAATAAATGTGCCCAAACATACTATTATAAAGGGAAATATTACGCCCAAATGTTTTATAGATTTATGCCCTAAAGCAGTGCTTCCCAAACTTTTTCGACTCACGGCGCCTTTTTTGATCTAAGGTTTTTTCAGGGCGCTTCTCCAAGTCATAGCATGACTAATCATAAGGAACATTTTAGATCAGATAGTATTTCATGACGGCGCGGCGCCCCTGTATAGACATCACGGCACACATTTTGGGAACCGATGCCTTAGTGTTCAGTTAGACAAACGCGCCCAAACGTATTTCCCACAAAAAAAGTATTAAGAAAAATTTAATCCTTTAAATATTTCGTAATTATTTTAAAATTATTATTTTTTTTGACATAGATAATTTATATTAAATAAAATATATAAAGTATATTATAAGTTTTTTTTAAAGATTGAAATTAATTTTTTTTTTTTTTGGAATACTGAATAAAAAAAATGTATTTGAAACTATTTCACTAATATTGAAATTAAATGTATTAAAATATTTATGAAAAATTGAGAAAACATCAAAAATGTAAATTATATATTTATACATCACATTTCAAGCAAGTTTAATAGTATAAGTATTAAGAAATTAATGTTAAACATAGTTACATTAAGTTATATAAAAAACTTGAAATTTTAACCTAATATTTATATAATATTTAAGTTATCTATAAAAGTTTCAATCATTTTGTTTAAAACAAAAAATTTAATTAATCATTTAAAATAATTATACGTGTAAAGTAAGATAGAATTTGAATGTCTGAAAAAATTATGATAAAAGAGATAAGCCCTCAATAAAAAGCAGTACAAGGTAAAATAAATATTCAGAAATGTAATTTAATGGCATGGGACCGAAACTCTGTGAATTAGGGTGTGTCAATGTTTTTAGTCTAACTGCGCAAACTTATTTCAAGTCTGTAATAGTTTAATCAAATATATGACCTAATTGTATGGACTCCCATTTTATGTATAAATATATTCTATAAAAGTTTGAAAATAAAAATGTTCAAGGTAAAATATTCGCACAAAAGGATTTGGCAAGAATCTTCTAAAAATTAATTTTACCAGATAATTTTCCTCATTTAATGTAATTTTTATGCAACTCACATATGTCAAATAATAAAATCCTACATTAATTTTATTGGCTATTAACCTAGTCATACTTCTCTATAAAATTTGGACAATATTTATTGCTTACATAGTGAAAATTTTTTTTCGCAAAAAAAAAACTTATCGTTTTTGATAATAGTATTAATTTAAACACATCTGAAATAAATTAAGAACTAATACATTGGAAAAAAAATCCAATGTACCTACTTAATAAAATATTAACTTTTATAAAGTACTATTTGTCTGTTTGTATCCATTGACATTATTTGTACAGATTTACTAGCTGATAAAAGTGATAACGTAACACATAAACGAATTTCTCGTTTTACTCGAAATCAAAATTTGAATATTTAACTATACCTAACAAATTTTAAAATAAATATTTGCTTCAATTTAAAAACATATGTTTTGATATTTATGCAGAAAATTTGTTTTCAGAAATGTATAGCGTATGTGAGTGTCATTTACTGATATATATAAGATGTACTACCTAAATTTAGAAGTTTAATTTTCCTTACATCTGTGAGTTTTTGTTAAAAGATTCTACTTTTGCCAAATGATAAAATTAGAAATACACAAATACGTAACACAAATTGAAAATATTGACACACAAGTATGAAAGAATAATAAACAAGTCGGAATCGATCTTTAGTCATAAGATAAAGTAAATATTCTACGCCAAATTTATACTATAAAAATATAAAGATATTTTTTTTTACATATTCTTACCTTGAAATCTGATAGTGAAGCCATTAAATCATCTAGTTCACGCGTAGCCGATGAAGCAGTTGGACATACGGTACGAGTAGTTGTTGTGGTAGTTTCTTCCATCATTAGCTTTGAAACTATTTGTCCATTGTTAATATTACTAGAGAAAACAAATTTGTAAGTAATAGAGAAGTACAGTATAAAAAATATTAAATTATTTAAAATAAAAATAATTAAAATAGCACATAATAATTTAGAATTAGGATAGAAAAAACAAATTAAAAATTAACTTCATAAATTCATGTTTATGATGAGCGGAAATGGATACCTTTGTAATATGTATGTTTTATTAGGATTTAATACTAAGAATAAATGAACAAATACTTTTATCTGTAATTTTGTTAATGATTTAGTTATTAATTAAAAAATAAAAACTCTGATTTGATTATATTTTCAATAATATATAATATAATACTTTCAAAACCTAAGATTGTTAATATTTATATATAATTTAAATTCAACCGAATTCAAGGTATAAATGCATCTGTGTTTACAAAAATTTCAGTAAATAAAAAAAAGTTAATGTACATGATTGGGAATTGGGCGCTTGTCTATTTTATACGCAGAAGCGTAGACTTACGTCATAAAACAATGGTGTATAAGTATTCATTCAAGTTAAATTTTTTTAAACAATCTGGCATGATAAATAAGATAATAAATTTTATATTAAAAATGGTTTTAAATAAAATTTGGTTTACTTGGTGAAGATTTCGTTAGTAAATATTATTTTAATATTGTACAGTTTTATACGATTTTTTCAAAAAAATGTGGAACATCTTAAATTTTAGTTGCATATTATTGATAAAAACACGTACAAATATGAATACTATAATTTCATTTAAGCGTTGATTATAGTTGAAAATAATTATAAAATAAACAGAAAAAAAATATTGAGAATCATAAAAGTCATTTTATTTCTTATACATTAACAATATAATTTTATTCACAACATGTTATTATTATTTCGTCATTTATAAAACACTTATTTTCGGCTATAGGGTAAAAAAAAAAAACAAGTGTTTTTTGACCAAATTGAAATTATATTGTTTATAATTTATAACCATAGGTATATTTAAATATTAAATGATAATCATGGTTATCGATAGTTGTATACTTGAGAATTTACTATAATAAGCAATTGAAATAACCCACGGTTTTGACAGATGGTATATAATAATGGTTTATATAATTAGATAATCTATGGTATAATCTAGGTTACAGTTCAAAATGGTACTTAATTCATGATTTTTTATTTTTATTTAAATGTATATTAATGTTGTATTGTTTAATTACTCTGTCTGAATCCATTATAATATACATTATATTTACTTTTTAATATTTCGTAAAATACTATCTTTTGTTAAAACATAAATAAAAATAAAATAGTTTTATTTTATTCTTACTTGAATCAGAATTGAAGTCAAAATAATTATTGATACAAAATCATATTTGATAATTATTTGATTTTCAATCATTTTTTTTTTTTTAAATGGATCATGCCGAGAAAAAAAAACCAATATCATAATAAACTTTCTAGTATTTTAACTAATCATTAATTACAAGTATATATTATAATCAAGTATCAATGATCTAATTTAAGGGTTTTGCCAACGGTCTGTTATTTTAACTAAAACATACCAATCTTTTGTCAACTGTAACAATCGACCTAGTCATGCAATAAAAATTTTGAAAACTGATTTAAATTTGGCTTTATGTTTACTTCAGATCGATCAGTTCACATTTTCCAATTTTTAAATGTAGATTATTCAGATTTTACTAAGAAATCTTAAAATGTGGACTGATCGATCTCAAAAAGACATAACAAATTCAGATCAGATTTCAAAAATATTATCGCATAATTAGATTGGACGGTAGAGTTGACAAAAAGTACATACTTATCGTCAAATAAAACATTACGTGCTGTATCGTTCACGCGCGCGGCGCAGTTATGGTGACTTGCTCACCATTAAATTTACCTTTTTGAAGAAATTGATGTATCCAATTCGTCCAAAAGAGAATCTACCGATGGACGGGTTGGAATATTGCTCGTTTTTTTTGGAATGGAATAAGAATCTCCGTTAATTACTGTAAATAAATTCAAAATCAAAATAGTTATCAAGTCATTTATAAATTAATAATAATATACATATTTGTTAATTTCTAGTATTATGTATACAATCAGGACCATAGGCGTGCGCAGACCTCTTTTTCAGGGTATGCAAAAGGCTGCCACTGCCTACCCCCCCCCCCCCCCCAAAAAAAAACCGAAAGTTAATTTAAGCGTTCGAAATTCTGGTCTTAATAACTATTTAATTTAAAATTTTAATTTGTTCCCCCGAAAAAGGTGACTGAATAGCCATTTCTTAATCGCTATAACTGTCTTCATAATTAAAATTTAAAATAAATTACGAAAAAAAAAATTAAATACATAACACTTGAAATGGTTTGAGTAATACGTTTAAATAGGGTAAATAAATAAAAACGTAATTATATACTTAAATGAAAAAGAAAATAAATATAATAAACAATCAAAATTAATCATAAAACGATTCTGCGTACAGTTGAGTTATTAAATTAACAATAATGTTTTCGGGATTTTAGTTTATAGCCATTTCTTGTTCTGTGGTTGATAGCTATTTAATAATTTAATTTATTTAATTTATTAATTTATTTAATTTTATTTAATAATAATTTATTTAATTAATTTAATTTAAACTTCATAATTTCATTAACACATTAAATCGTTATTATAGCATATGATTTGTGTTTCAAAAATAAATTAAACTGTCTGGGACTGAATATAAAAATATAATAAAAATCATAATGTAATACAAAATCACATAATATACATAAGACCAAATAGTTTTAATTTATTTATTTTTTGTAATTTTAGAAAAAAGGCTCTATGTTAAGGGTATGCAGTTGCATACCCTGCATACCCCCTGCGCACGCCTATGATCAGGACACTGTTATACCAAGCCTATATATATTATAAATTACATTATACTGAAATCTAGTCTGAATCAGCTTTTTAGCAGTAAATCTATGCTATTATTTATCTAGTATTTACCATGCTTAATGCATATCATATATTATGTATAATATATATATTTATACACATGTGTTATAATAATTAATGTTATCACAGATGACAGAATAAATACATTTATAGTTAAACCCGTGAAGGACCGTATGATTGTATAATAATAATAATAATAATTATATTCTGTCTTATTGTTCTATCGTAAAACCAATTTTTGTATTTTGCTTATCAAAATATTATGTTGTTTGAGTTTTTCTAATGGCGTAAATTGTACATTTAATATTTGTTATAAATCTTCAAAAAAAGATATTTTTAATTATTAATTCGAAATAAAATAATTTAATTCACAAAAAATAATATTGTATTTTTATTAAATTCCACTAAGTTTTGTGTATTATTTTAAAGCGAATACTCTATAGTACAAAGTACATTTATTTTGTATAGTATCATGGAACATAGATTATGGAGAACATCACATAATAAATCATGATTGTTGAATATAAAGGTTAAGTATAAGAACGTGCCCCCCTCTAACCTCTTTAAATCCTACCAAATATCAATTTTGTGAGACAAACACATTTAAAAATTTCTAAAATAATACATTGTGGGCCACCTGTTCACCTAGAGTTGTAGACCGTCATCTTTTCAGTTCTGGGTGAAAAGGGGACATAGCCCCCCCGGACTTAATTACTGCCCACCAACAACTATTAAAGGTGCATATATATTATATATATATATATATACTATATATATATATAGTGGTATGTTATGTACTATATTGTGTTTTTCTAATACTCTCCCTAATATTTGGTTTGTCCCCCCCTGATGATTTGGTCTGGCTAATGGGTCTGTAAGGTACTATATTATAAGTGGTCATGTTATAGTTTATTTTATTTACGTAAAATATGAATCATTGTATAGATAAGAATATCAATTGTATTCTAGCCATAGATACAACTTAATTTACAGTTTTTAAGTTATAGAAATTGCTAATAACTAATAATCCGGCAGGGGATTCTCCCTTACCACGATTTATACAAATTGTGTTCTTGAGGAAACATTTTAAAGACAGGGGTGCAGTAGTTACCTAGTTGCGTCAATGATTCTAACGTTAAGTTATTTAATATATTAATACATTTTTATAAGAATCATAAGTACTTAAAATATTATATTATTTTTTAAATAATTACTAGTTTTAAAATTAAAATTAAAATTGAAGGGCACGCGAAAATATTTTTGCAACAATTAATTTGATAATATATGTATATATATATATTTACTTTAGTATTAGCTATAACAAAACTATATTGTTAATGTAGTATGCAATAAATTGTAGTCTTTCGAGCATAAAAGAAAAAAATAGCAAATATGAAAAAGGGATGTGATGTATGTGACATACAGATTCTTACCTTTTTTATTCAATAATAATTAATGGTCGTAAAACAATGATTTAGTTGACTAAGCTTTATAGAATTTTGTATTATCACATATACATATAAAATAAAAATAGTTATGGTCCAATGTATAAAAATGTAATTCATGAAATCGTTTTTTATATTCTATAGACTATTAGTATTATCTTAATTTTAAGTACATAAATATCATTTTTTTTATAATTTAAATCATAAAATGTAAGATAGTATACAGAATAATATACCAGCAAAATATAAATATATAATGAACTTAATAGGTTCATTATACAGGGTGTTCCAAAATGATTCATCCTATTTAAAAAAATCATATTTATTGTAAAATTTGATTAATCATGTAAGAATTAATTTTACATTTTAATGGATTATTTTAAGTTTTAGGTACAATGCTTATAATGTTCAATGTGACCCCCTTTACTTGCACGACACACATCTAAGCGATATTCAAATTCCTCATAAACCTGTTGAAGCATGTCGACTGTAACCAAGTTGATGGCGTCTGTAATGTGACTTTTCAATTCGTCAAGATTTTTTTGAAGGGGAGGTACATAAACAATGCTTTTTATGTAACCCCAGAGAAAAAAATCACAGATTGTAAGATCCGGCGAACGGGGCGGCCATGGACAAAATGTAGCGTCATTAGCACTACAGCGACCGATCCATTTCTGTGGTAGCTGATCGTTAAGAAATTTGCGTACTTCTAAGGACCAATGTGGTGGTGCTCCATCTTGTTGTAAAATGAAATCATCTCCATCGGCTTGTAGTAGTGGGAATAGCCAATCCTTAATCATTTGTAGGTATGAAGTTCCTGTTATTGTGTTCCCATCAAAGAAAAATTGTTCGTACATTTTCTTTCTGGAAACAGCGCAGAAAACGTTAAGTTTGGGCGAATTCCTTTCATGTTCGACAACTACCCGTGGATTCTCTAATCCCCAAATTCACACATTGTGACGATTTACCTTCCCATTCAAATGAAAAGTGGCCTCATCATTGAAAATGATACGATAGAAAAACTGTTCTACCTCTTCACTCTTCTCAAGAACAAATGTACAAAACTCAATTCTCTTTTGCATATCACCGTCATGGAGAGCCTGCAACAATTGAATTCTGTATGGTTTAAGTCTCAGGCGTCTCCGCAACACACGCCAAACTGTTGTCAGTGGTATTGCAAGTTCTCTGGATGCTTGACGAACTGATTTCTGTGGACTTCTTACAAAACTTTCTCGAATTTGTTCAACATTTTCATCCGAAGTTCTTGGTCTACCTGATGACTTCCCTTTACATAAGCAACCAGTTTCTTGGAAAATTTTATGCCATCTTCGAATACTCTGGGCTGTTGGAGGTTCAATGTTAAACTTTCGACGAAAATCACGCTGCACGGTAATAACAGACTCGCACTTTTCAAAGCGGAGCACACAAAACGTCTTTTGTTGCTCGGTCAACATTTCGATAACAACTAATTAAGTTACGTCACTGACGATTGCGGTGCCAAATTTAACAACTAGATAACTTAAATATATAAACTTAGTTATCTAATCTTTCCATTAATACATTGGTCATTAACCTGCGATTAACCGTTGCCGAACTATATCAGTTCGTAATCGGATGAATCATTTTGGAACAACCTGTATATTCATAACCGACTAAATTATATATGGTATTAAGTAACGTATTTTTAAAACTGAGTACCAACTAGAAAATATTACTACTGACGCCTGTCGACTGTAAACCACATATTTATTTATTATTTAGCGTAGAATATAGTTAATTTATTTATAGCCGTAGTATAGACCGAGGTAAAGAGATATTACGATCTATAATAGTTATTTGATAATTAATTAAAAAAAATTGCATTTAATAAAACAAATTATAATTAATAATGACACGAAATGTTAGCTGATCATTTGTAAAGTGTACGAGCTTCATTATTTCCGTTACAAATTTTCTATAATAGTCTTATAAGTTATTAGTAGAGTCCAGATTTATATGCATTTAAAAAGTGCCTAAATATGCAATTTATATGCATTATGTTACACTTTCTAAAATGTGTTTTTTTTTAAAAAAAAACCACACTATTATACCTAATAAAATTCTAAATATTTTATCAAAAAAAAAAAAAAAAAAAAAAATGATAATATCCACTGCTTTATATTTCAAATCTTTTAAATTAATCTAAAACTTTTAGAAAACTTAAAAACGAGAATAGAAATAAAAAAAAAACTAAAAATAAATATTTTAGATTATTTGAAGTTATCTACTCTCAAAAAACGAATAGAAAACTTAAAAAAAATACAAACATTTTTAATTTATTAAATACTCATTAAATATACATGTTATATGCATTTATGCACAAATATGCAATAACCTTCGAAATATGCAAAATATGCAATATACAATTTGGTGTTTAAATTCGGTGTGGTATAAATCGTGGACATTTTAAACTTCCATAGACGTGCATACACTTAGCACAAATATGCAAATGCATATAAATCCGAGATCTAGTTATTAGAATAAATAGTAGTACCAAAGCAGTGGTGTGGCCAGGTGATTAAAGGGTTATACCCCCCTCCGAAATGTCTCTCTTATTTTGTAGGATATTCAATAATTTTATAACATAGGTATAATGTTATATCATGTAATGATATAACACAATTAAAATAGTTGGTATTTTAGATTCTGCTGATGATACATCATGGAATTTTAAAAACATGTAAAATAATTTAATAAAAAAAATGTAAATTTAAAAAACAAATACCATAATATAAAGAACAGAAACACAAACACCAATACATTTTTTAATTTCGTACTAAATATTTAACATTTCGTATTACAAAAAGTGTGTCGTACTGCACACAATTTTAGTCCCTAGAGAGAATTGAAAATTTAAGCCCGCTCTCAACAAAAAAAGTTTCTGAATACATTAGTGTATCAAAGTATTACCAATTTTTGACTTGTAACCCAAAATTATATTAATAAAAATAATAATAATAGTATATGTATTTTATTTTATTTTACTCATTCTAGTTCATTCGTTCATTTTTATTATTTATGATCGTTTTAAACTTACACTTTTTATCAGCGTAACGTGAGTTACTTAGATCTTGAAGTAATGTATCCAGTTCTGAAAGATTATTATTCAATGAAGATGTCATTTTTGATGATTTAAATTCGTTCTTAGGTTGTGCTGCCTATAAAAAAAATGAATTTAATTCATGTAAAACAAATTCTATATTAAATAGTTATTGTCCTAGGTCAGTGGTGGCCAAATTACGGCCCGCGGGCCAATTCCGGCCCACTATCATTGAATATCTGGCCCGCGAAAGTATTTTACATTACAAAATTTATTTGCGTAACAGTAATATTTTACATTTACATTAAAAAAAAAATTGAAAAATACATTTTTTATGGCCCGCGGTAAAAAAAAGTTTGGCCACCACTGTCCTAGGTTATACTTACTATATTATAAAAAAAATAATTTTAAAAGTTTTATTTAATTATGATGGTATTAAAATTAGTTTAAAACCATTTTTTTAACTGCCAATTTTCTGAGTTACTTAATGTATAACAAGTCGTAACCTTAACACCAGTTATGATAAATACCTAAGTTTATCGTTATTAATAAGATAGAAACATAATAATTGAAAATTAGAATATTATAAATTATAATATTTGCATATTTTAAACTTACTTTTATAATTAAATAACGGCAATCCAGATTATTTTAATAAACAAAATTATAGATATTTTAACTAAATTGAACTACCTGGCTCGAACTTATCTATTAGATAAAGACATGTGTAGTGAAATTCAGAATTTTATCTCTTCAAATTTGCATTATTGAATGTACGAGTATTTATAAATCATATTGAATTGTATCATTTACATAAAAAAAAAAGGAAAGAATTAGGGCTTATTACTCATAAAGAAAATGAAACGGTTTTAACTTTTACAGATTTTTTAAATTTTATCATGTTTTATATTTTTTTTTAAAAATCTTTTTTTTTTTGGATTTAGGGAATGGGAACTAAAATTGTAAAATAAATAAATAAATTTATAACTATTAATAAATATAAATAAAAAGGCTTAAGCATCACAATTGAGTAAGCAAAAAAAAAGAATTAATAAAAAAAAAATCTTTATATGTTTGAAAAATGTATAAACGACGCTTTTCTAATATTTTGATTTAGTGTTTTCGAAATTAAAAATTTAGAATTCAAATATGAATCTAAATGAGAATGAAGACATTATTTAATTTTAATTTTTTTTTTTTAAACAGGAAATGAATACTAACAAGTAATAATTTATAAATAATAAAAAAATGTTTTTGATTAAATACCTAATATATTTTTTTATACAATTATATACATATATTATATAAGTTACCGATAGTTCCTGTCGAACCGCTGGATTTGAAGTTGACCGTTCAATCTTGTGTGTTCGTACCGTAGCATATTCTGGAGGCTGAACTGGACTTTGTGGAACTGGTGAACCATTAGAAGGCAATCGAGATCGAATATTATTAATACTTCCATATCCTCCATTGACACTACCATTTAATTTGTTGGTCTGTTGTATTGTACTTTGTAAATCCGCAAGCAATGCGTCTAAATAAAAAAATGTATACATTTATTTAAATATTTAAAGAAAAAAGATATGGTAACATTCATTAAAATTAAAGTTGTGCCAGCTGTTCTAATTTTGTGTAGGAGTAAGTATAGAAACGAGTTTATCCTCCACACATTTGTTATTCATGTTTTATTCTACTGACACTTAATAAACGACCAGATGAAAATGTTCAAGTTTAATTAAGTTTCAAATAGGTAGGTCTAATGTGATAATTCATATTTAAAATAACAAATTTTATTTTGTAGAATTCATTCATTACTTATTTGAACGTCAAACGTAAATGTTCATGAATAAGATAATTTGTGGGTGAGGATGACATGCGCTAAATTAGACCATAATTAAGAGACACGTTTTCGAATTCATTATATTAGTTATAAAATATTCAAAAAATAAAACTAATTATAACTTTTAATATTTAAGAAAATTACAAAGCTGGTTTTTAAAGATGTTTAATGTGGTTAGACTGGTAATAAGTATACTAATAAACTTATTATAAAATTCTGAATGTTTAAAATAAAAAATCACAAACTAGAATAATGAAAAAAAATTCAAAATATATCTCATAAATAAAACCAAATAGCTCTGTAATTTAAAAACATACTTATTTAATGTATCCACCATTTAGTAGATGCATTTAGTTATAACTATTGTATCAGTTAACATCGCAATATGGATTTTTAAAAACTCTTTAAAGCTTAAACTCAAATATATAAAACATATAAGAACCAATGTTAATTTTTTTATTTAAATAAAAATCAACATTTTATTACCATTGTCAACAAGTGTTGAAGCTTTATTTTTTGTTTAATTATAGTCTCAAAATACAGAATCAATAAGCTTCTCTTGCAATTGACACTATAAAATATAAAATTTTTTACTGCAACGATGTGTAAATGAAAACGAGAGTATATAACCGAAATTATTCTATCGTATCATAACTCATTATAACTTGTTTTATAGTTAGTGGTACCTACTATTATCCATAAAATATTTTAAAACAATTGGAAATGATTTGTATTATTCATTGTATATATATTTTTTTCTTTTTCAAATCGAATTGTTATGATTATAATATGTATTTATAGTTCATTATCAGAAGAATTTTTTAGAAGTATTTTTAAAAAATTTGTTGATTTGATCTTTTAGACTTGGCATTCGAATCACAACGTTAATCATTTAATCTTATAGTATATTAAACACTTTTCAAAATTGTTGTAAATTATTTTTAAATACTTTATTTAAAGCATTAACTAAGTTATGATACCTAAAATTAGCTAATATATGGATACCATAATAATTACAATTAGTATAAAGAATTATTATTTCTTATTCAATTTAAATAGTAATACAATAAATACATTAATTTATGATTATTTATAGCATCATAAAATATGTCAACAGACTAATCAATGAATTATAATTATAATATTTTAATGATATATAAGTATTAAATTGTATACATTTTTTTTTCATCAATTATACTTGTAGTTTAAGTTCACAAAATTTTTATTAGGCATATTTTTTAGTAATTGCTTTATCCATAGACCTTATACTCAAACCGGCCTTGCCTATATTACTAATATTACTCGTCGTGACAACGCACGCTTGTTACAATCGTTAATCACTATTCTCTTATCAATCACAATAACAATGTATTCATGTAAATTTTAAAACAATACCTACATTTACCATATTTATTCATTTAACGTATTACAGAATTTTTAATAGATTATTTCTGTAGACATTTAGATGATTAAAAAGTATTATTCAATAGCCATATTATATATTATTATAATCTTAAGTTCTGTTGTTATTTTTGTTATTTTTTTTTTTTTAATCATATTACTATAATATCTACTAATGTTTTATTATTTACTTATGCAATTTTATTGGAAAATAGTTGTCATTGTATCCTCGTTTACAAAATGGAATGAGGCATTTGTAAACCATATTGAACAATTATTAAAATAATATTATACCTATTATAGAACAAATATAAATCGTTAAAAATTCAAAACCAGGAATAATCGGAAAATTAAATAACAGCTGATGTCTAATAATCGTACACTCATATTATACATAGATCTTTTATGGTATGCACAATAATTCGTGCGTCAATTATCATAACGCTGACAGCGCCCTCTTTCACGGTTCAGATTTTAATTCACAGGGCCGGTCTATGAATATAAGGTCTATGGCTTTAACCAATAGAATTATTTAATCAATAGTTAATTTATATTTATAAAATAAAGTATTATAATAAAAGTTTATAACGCAAAATAAAAATGTATTTAGTGAAAATTAATTCAGCTTATCAAATATAATATGCAAATTTAATGAACAAACAGATGCCCATTTTTAATTATTTAATCATCATTTTAATATTTACTAGTTTTTTTTAATGCGCCAGTATAAATATATTTTTATGTTATAGTTAAAGTCTTACTCAAGCTAAGTCATAATATTTATGATTATTAACTAAATATTATGACTGTGCCAAAAATGTATGAAAAAATAGCTAATAAAATTACTTTACATAAATTACAAATATGTTATAAATATTTACGAATAGGATAACAAATTAAAACATATTTTAAGTAGGTATAAGCATTTACATAAACGTTAATATAAATAGTTAAAAACAATTTCATAATTCAATATATTATATAGGTAGTTAATTTATGTGTATGTCATTTTATTAGCAAATATAGTTTAATTTACCTATATAAGATGAAATGTCGTTCGGAGATGAAGTAATTCGATTGGCTATTTCCACTCCCATAATAAAATAACTAAATTCCAATTGATATATAATTATTAAAGAATTAAATTTTCAATGTCATGTGCTTATGAAATCACTTGAGGTTTAAAACTAGACTGAACACATGCCATTGCGTATAAGTTACACTTGACTAAAAAACAAAAATATTTATGACACGGAAAAAACCGATGTCAGGTGTGGTGGGTTTTTGACGCATTATCTACCAAGAAATTATAAGATTTCAAATAAAACCCACGTTTCTGACAGACTCAAAGAACTGCACGAAGAAAACTGCTTAATTTATATCGAGGCCAATATATCCGAATGGATTTGTTTCTAAAATAGAAATATAACCCAACACCTTTTTGGACTTCTACATAATCCACGTAGGCGTGTTTAAGCTACTAAATATACTTAGGCTAATGTTATTTCAAGAACTTTTTTAAAATATTGAATTTGGAACAATTCCAAAGTTTTAGAAAAAACCTCAAGATATTGTTTTCAAATAAAAATTAATTCAGGTCATAGACAAAATCAAAATTCGTAAATTATTTAATAATATTCAAAAACTAAGGGGCTACATTAGAAAATTACTAGTACATTTATATTTACTGTAAAAATGAATCATTATAATTTTTTTTTGTTGCTGAAATCTGTTACCCGTAGAGCTGTAATCAACCTATTATAGGTGACAACTTGAATACGGATTTTTTAACAAGTATTAAAATAAAAAATTAATAAATATTGAATGTAGCAATACAGTTTATCGTGACTAAAATTTTAGACCTTCGATTTAAGGATATGCCTGATTAGTATACAACGAAATGATTAATAGTTCATTAGATAGAATTATTTGATGAATATTTATTGAATTTCTTTTTAACTTTTGATTTTTAGTCATATTATGTATAGGTGTTTTCTAATTTTAGATTTTGATAGGAAGTAAAAAAAATTAAATCATGCGTATTTTCGGTAAATATTTTTGGAACGACATAAAATGACTATTAAGTATCGTTTAAAAATTGAAAATGTTAAAATTGGAGAATATCTAAAATTATTAGATATATTTTTGTAAATTTGAAATTAAAAAAATATATTTTAATAACATTTCTTCGGGAACATTTTTTGGGTACAATATTTATTATATTATAATTCATTATTTTGCTGTTTTGAAATGAGAAAAATAAAATTAATTTCTAGTATTTTACTGACCGAATAAATTGTCTTTACTGACAAGTATTTAAAACTCACTCTATACATACGATTGTGTATCATTTATAGATCCCACTTGACCTACTTAATAGTCATAATTTCATCCGATTATAATCCATTACATTTAGTTTTTCATATAGAATTAATTAGATAAATAACCAAACTTTTTTAAAATAAAATAAAAATTTAGATAATCGATAAAAAAAATAATAGTTATATATTATAATCATTAATAATTAATTTAATTTGTTAGCGTTACACTGAAAACTGAAATATTAATAATATATTATACGTATTTTCTAATGATTTTTTCAGGTAATATAAATTCCAAATATTCATTATATATAGAATAATTGTAAAAAAAATTTTAGTTTATGGTTTTAATTGATAATCTTAATTAATATAATTTATTTAAAATAAAATAAAAAGTTTAAATTTAATATTGTAATTATTTTTAGAAATAAAATATATTTCATTAAATTAGTGTTATACAATACGTATTCGAGTTGCTTTAAATTAAATAACTACGTAATTAAAGCATAGAATATTAGTATTAATGCATTAAGTTACAAAACAATTTTAATATGAACATTTTACAAACCATTCATTTTGAATATTATTAAAGTTAACACTCAAAATATTTTCCAGAGTCAAATTATTATAATCTTTCGCGATATATAGATATTTAGAAACTCAATAGACCAAACAACACGTATTCATAACACCAACTGGTTGTTTAGAAAAAAGAACATCTCAAATAAACCGAGACTATCCTACGCAGAATTGTATTTTTCACAATGATCATACGGCGATATTATTAAAAAAAAAAAAAGGAGGAATCAGTGGGCGTCAAGGTATATCGCCAAAGGTGTTATATTTTTGCCGACACTTCAGCCAAGATAGTAAAATCAATATGACAAGTTCTTTCACTAAGATTAATTACTAAGAGCAGATCGATACGATAATAAATGTAGTTGCAGTAAACATTGAATAAAATATTAGATATACTAAAAATAATGTTAAATATTATACAAATAATATTACTAATACCAACATATTATTAAAACTATAATATATTTGTGATGTTGTATTTACTAAGTGATTCAGATAAATATGATCGGGAATAATTAATATTAAATAATACATTTATATAATACACTATGATATTAAGACTTATGAAATCATACAATTTTCAACAAAATTCTATAATTTAAATTTTATTACTCACTAATTCATGTCAGTGTACACATCATATGTTGACGTTTTTAATTTCATATATTTGGTGTGTCATTGGGAGTTAGTAATATTTTATAATTCTCCGCGTAAAAGGATACGGAGATGTAGTAAATTACAATATCTGTAATTCTGTTATAACTATAGTGACAACATTAGCAATTTATTATATAGGTTTCATTTTTAGTACTCATAAGTACGAGTAGTGCAATAAATATGCATGAAATATCTGCATAGATACAAGGTACTATACTAGTGTTATACATTTTTATAATAAAGATGAATTAAAAATAAAGAGTACATAATAAAATGTAATACTATAAAATGTATTGTGATTAAATTAAGAAATAAGATAGTAATTTTGGTAAGTAAATTGCAAAGTAATTTTGGTATATTACATTTGTAATCCCATAAAGATAAAATTGTAATTCGATTATGTTTATTTTACATACAAATTACACTTAATCAAATATAATTGTTATTAGAACTCGTAAATTGAATTTAAAATAACAATAAAATTAAACATTTACAATTTAAAACTGTTAAACATAGGCAGTGGGCACACATGACAAATACTTTTAAGAAACCAAAGTATAGATAGTTAATAACTAAGTTTGTAATACTTAATAATTTGTACAAAGAAGTTTGTAATATAATAAAAAATTACTATAACTGCCAAGAACAATAAACGTAGAGGACATTAACCTCAACTTCTCCAGGTTCAATATTTATGCTAAAAATAGTAATTGAGCAGACATGTTTAAGTTATTTCATTTTCACTTTAATTTCAAGATGGCTTAAAAAAATTTAAAACTTTTCAAGTTTTTGTAAATTATAGTTACAATTACGTTAAGGTAGACTTGTTAAAAAATCACCCTTTATCATTTGAAGTTATTGAGAATTGAATTTTTTTTATTTGGTATAACATGTTATAAAAATGCATAGGTAAACTAAATCCAATTTTTGTCATAATTTTTAATATAGTTTTATAATTTGTATCATTTTAATAATAATTAGGGATTTTTATTATTACACAAGCAATTTTAGAATTATAATTTATTTTAAATATAATAATACCCTTATAAATTATAATCGATTATATTACTTACTACACATAACTTTAATATGCTACTTATGAAAAAATAATGGTTTATCAATATAGGTATCATAATTGTCTGTATGATTCATTTTTTATTTTAAAATTAAATTAAAAAAGAATAATAATCGTGAATAATTTTAATAGATAAGTTGACTAAACACATTTAATTATTTTAAAGGTTTTTTTAGTAATTGACATAACCTTCAAAATTTTGAAAAAATAAGGTTTTTTGAAGGCTATTATGTGGTAGATATTTAACAAAAATTGTGTCTCATTTATAAAAAAAACAATGTAAAATGTAAAATCATTCATGTAAAATGTTATGGTCAAATTTTGTTTCACAATAACTTCAATAAAATTGTATTTAACTTTTTTCCAAATGATTATGTACCTTAACTCAAACGTACTTTCTACTGTGTATAGTCAGTTCTGCATTCAATTTTAATAGGTGCCTTATTTGGAGACTACTTTATATGGGTTTGGCCTACTTTAATGCGCTTCATAAATGTCACACCACATGCACAAAATGTTTGTTAATCATACATTTTAAATGTTAAATGAAATTCTGTACAAATAATGATTACTTAGATTTTATCGAAATTATGTTAAAAATTAAATAATTATCATACAATTTATAACTACTGCTATATTAATTAAAAAGCAATTAACAACATTATGTTAATCATGTGATGTAGGAGTACAAAACATAGCATATGGATTATATTACATATTGTATTTACGTATAAATACGTATTTATAATATGCTGTATATAAATAAAATATAGTAATTTGTAATCGATATTTGTACCAGTATAGGTTATAACTTAGAATAGGCCATTTTATATTTAGATTTAAATAAACAGACAACATATTTTTACGACAAAAAAGTATAAAATTACGTTGGCATAAATATTAAAATCTATGATGAAAAAGAAATCTCGATTTTGGCATATTTTATAATACATGTGTAGGCTAAATTTCGATGGATGAAAATACTCAGAAAATAGTAAACAAATAGTTTTAAAATTTCGACTACAAAGTAATATAAATTAATGTAAATAAACAAACTCACATCCTGGTTTTGAACCATTTCTTCTCGTACATCTATATGGTTGATATGTTCCATGATATTGTTGAGGTTGCAATTTCCCATATATATTTTTATCCATATTGGTTAAATATAACACACGATGAATAAATTTTATGAGTACACTCGTAAAACCAATTTGGAAAATTTAACGAAAAAACAATACAACCACCAACGGATAACATAGAACTGATACTGCTTGAGCTAAGGGTCCTGATTTCCGGGATTTATTTTTATCAAATAGGAATCATGCCAGATTCATTCTACCCATGTCTCCGTTGAACACTTCATTAAAAAAAAAAAAAAAAATGTAGAAAAATAAAAGTAAAACAACTCGGCAAAAGAACGGAATAACACAACGTGTGTCAACCGGCACCGGACAAACTGTTATGGGAGATACTATATACTATCCTGAAGGCCGGTGTGAGAATCGGCAAATAAAAAGCTAAACAGCTAAGTAATATACAGCGATGTATACGGGATAGTTTTTTTTAGCAATATCATTATGAAGCAATGTGGTAAATTTAAATGTGAACCGTTGACTGGTTTTATATTACATTATATAATTAAAATATAATAAGGTAATAATTAATTATTTATCGTAAATATAAAATATAAATAATTGTATAAGTGTATTATCTACAAAAAGATACACTTTGTCCAAGTATGTATATGAAAATGAAGGATATTAAATTCCAAGTATATTGCGTTTTACAAATTTTATACGAATATATATAATATACACACACACACATATACATAAAAGATAAAATTAAAAAAATGATTATTAATAGAATTACGACTTCAAATGTTGGTATTATAATTGTATATACTAATGTTAATATTGTATTTTACCATTAAAATGATCAAAAAAATATAGTAATTTTAATAAAGTTGAAGAAAAGAAAATTATTGAACAAAAAACTTGATTTTAATTGTCTAGTTTTACATAATTCAGTTTAAGTAAAATTAAAAATATATAAGAACAAGATATGAAGAGACTGGATGCTGTACGTTTATTTATTTATTCAATCTGGTGGTAATAATACATAATTTTATTATTATTATGATATGAAATTATCGTTTATAATTAACAACTGAAAAGCAAAAAAAAAAAAAGTTCATAGATATTTCAAAATACAATATTAGTTAAAATTTGCAATAATTTGCCATCGATAAACCTATACTTCTTAAAAACTAAAAATAATTTCTAAATTCTAATAATCTACTATCGACTTTCATTTTTTTTAAGTGAATGACTGTTGGATAAAATACGTAAGACTTTCCTATTTTTACATCAAGTATCAATATTGTACATCTTCATCGTTTATTTACAATCTCTCGAATTGAGGATATATGTCTAGAAATCTATTTATGAATACAATTTATTTAATTAAGTTATCTTCTTAGTTTTTACTAACACTACATAATTATATAATTATACTTAAATTCAAAAAAAAAAATTACTAAAAAAAAAAATTAATTCTCTATTAATAACAAATTTTTATATTATTTTTAGGCTGTATGCTTGTTATGTATGAATTTATTAATATTTCGTACACAATTTGGCAAGTAATAGGTAAACACAAACGTAATACATTTCTATATAAATTGAGAGTGTGTGGAAGGTTGCATTTCTTAAGGTCGTCATACCCATGAACTAGTACAAACGTATTTTTAAGGTCATTCGATATACGAGTAGAATATTTTAATTCAACAAGAATTTAAAAGTACATTTACACAAAATATGTTTTTCAATTTACTATTAATGATTGATGACGACCAATATTATAGAATAATGTTCTTACAATTAGTATTCAACTTTTTTAAGCTCGAAAAACTATACATTGCCATAGTTATAAAATCAATTTTCAAAGAGTACTGTTACAGGAATTTAGGATACAAAAATATACAGATTTATTGTTTATTAACTATCGGATTCTAAAATAAAACGTAAAATTAGGAATAAGATAATTACGTGTTTTTGATTTTAATATTATTATTTATAAATAAAATTATTAAAAATTCTTTTCTTTTTTTTTTTAAATGTCTGTTATTTAGTTTTATGATAGTTTTGACCAAATATGATTAATCATTATTACTTGTTTGTTATAAAATGAAACGCATGCCTTACAACAGTAAATACATCAATGATTTATGAACAAATTATTTAAACAATTTATTTTGATAACAAATGTATCATTTGTCACTTAACTGTCAACATTATTTCTCTCATTGGAACTTTCAAATATTTTATCGTAGATAAATAGGTACAATTAATGTAATAAAATGTTTTACAAAAAAAAATTAAAAAATATACATGTTTTATACACGATTATTATGGTATAGTATTATATAATAGGTAGTATTATTATTAATATAATATAAATTATACAAGTTAATTTTACAATACAATAAAAAAAGGTTCAAAATATACACGTTAAATGATTTCAAAAAATATAAAATGAGTGTTAAACATTATAGTATTACCACAGATTACACGTTTGATCTGAAGTTCAACGAATATTATTTGTCAAAAATCAAGTGTGCCAAAATTTTAAAACATTTTATAAGGTTGATACGCTTGTATCATATATTAAAATTATAATTTATTATACATTTATTAAATATCGAAAAAAATTTGAAGATAGATTTAAATGCAAATGTTCCGAATTATTAATCATATATTTCAGATTTTGTTTTAAACGTACAATGGAATCTGATGCTGTTCAGGTGTGGTGCAAGTATTCGTACGTTATAGTTCGGGTTATTAAGTTTGAAAATCAATGCAAATCGCAAATCATTTAATGGGCATTTCTAAATGTTTGATGATTTCGGTCAAACAAATCTCGAAGAATCAAAATGTGCCCAATTTGACAGAAATCGTTTTGCACACAGGTATTTTATCTCGCTGTTATAGTTCTTAACGAATTTAACACCTAACTTAGTTCAAGTTGAATACTTCAACGTACATTTGCGTAGGCAACGTAAGCGTAAACAACGAGATTGAAGTCGACACTTACCTAGATCGTCCATTTCTTGTGCATACAAATCAGAAGACAGCACAACGCGCTGAGACGAACCGCTTTGGCGAACGAACGGGTAGATGACGGCAACCTGGATCTGTTTACGCGACAAACGTTCGCGTAGAGCACATAATATTATTATCTCGTGGACGGACAATAACTCGAAGCAGGTAAACAATCGCGGGGACGTGCGATGAAACAAAATTTTTGAAAAACAAAAAAACCCGACGGAAGATACAAACAAACGAAGAGACGAATTCGGTGATTATTGTTTTATAATTATCTAACCTTTTTTTCAGATCGTATCGCAATGAAAATATTGTCGTCTACCTCGCGCAATGTTTACGTGCACGTTATCAGGCGCAGCACGATCGGCTATCAGTTCGCGGAAGAGCGACGTTGCCGTTACGGCCGAGCGCATGTGTACGAAAAAGTTGATCAGCTGACCACGACCGTGTACCTGTGCAGTGTTGTCGATGTGTTAACGGTTGAGAACGAAAAACGCGGACACCCACGCACCGCAGTTACCGCGCTGTTGTGACGTAAAGCGCGTGCGCACGTTTCACCCTGCGCACGTCGCTCATTCGTCGACCACGTTACCGTCGCCCCGCCACCGCTACGGATGGAGACGACCCTTTCCCACCGTTGCACGCATTCAACAGGCTATTTTTATCCCCGGCGCATGCACGCACGCACCAACACTATCTACTATTATTATCATCGCCCCGCGCACCGCTCATGCCGGTCGCGTCGAGTGGTATTAATTTTTGGTCCGCCGTCTCTTCTCGCGCGCAACCGACTCGCACGAACGGTAATTTTAATATACGATGCTGCCGGCGGTTCCCTTCCATCGAACCACAGCCACCACCACTGTCGAGATCACCAGCACCAGCAACAGCAGCATTAGTAGTGGCAGCAGCAGCAGCACTGGTCGTAGCACCAACACCAGCACCAGCGCCGGCATCGGCACCAGTGTTAATAGCAACGTAAACAGCAGCAGCAGCAGTAGCAGCAGCTGCTGTGGCAGGAGCAGCGTGGCCGCCTCTGTCAGTCGTCCGTTCTACGTGATTTGATCTCTTACGCATCCTTTTCAGTCGCCGCGATCTCGCAGGGTCCGTCTTAGCCGGAACGCGTTCCTGTCCCTTTCCGTCCTACCCCTTCTCCCACTGTGCATCTAGCCGTCCCCGCGTGCTGTGATACCACGTTATTCGTGCGAAGCATGGACAACAATAACAGCAGCGGCACCGCTGATCTGTACGCCGCCGATGGCGGTTACGCTTCGAAGGACGTCTGCTACAACAAGTGAGTACACCACGACGCGCACTCTCACCACGCCACACCACTGCTCTACATCAGAAAACCGCGGAACAGACTGCATTTAGTTAGTTGTCCATCGCGTTCCACAATTCTCTATTACATCATCATCGCGCGCCCGCGTGCGTATATGTGTTACCCGTAGCGTCATAATATTATAAACGTAGACCACGTTCATATCGCATCATCGATCCGACCCGTATGTGTGACGATCGTACGACAATGAAGTAACAATCAGAATTAATTAATAGCGATCAATGCCGCGAGCGCGCCCGTCCGTTCTATTGCTACCCCCGTTAATAATGTTGCGCACGTAAATTAGTCGAGTGCAATCCATCATGCCGGGTGTTTGCAGCGATCCGAATCTTTTCGAAACCACCGTGGAACCGCTGCTGGCGCCCGGTCGCGAAGCCGACCTTTGTGAATGGCTCAAGAAAAACGGCCTGATAGCCAAGGAACAAAAATGCTCCAACAATGAATGCTCAGCCACGGAAAAGATGCAGTGGCATCGGGCCCGTGTGGTCGACAAGTTCAACTGGGTGTGTCTGGAGTGCAAGAAGAAGTTGCCGGCAAGGCATTCATCCTTCTTTTCAGACTTCAAATGCGAGCTGGGATATGCTCTTAAAGTTATTGATGGTAAGAATTAACTATATTTTCACATTCTGTATTGAACTAAAAAAGTGTTTTTACAGGTTGGTGCAAGAATATTCCGTTAACCAATGTTGGTGGTGAAGGTAGAACTAAGGCAAACGTAGCCAAACGTATTTATAATGGATGTACTCAAGTTGCTGAATGGCAGTTGAAAAAAATGGTCACAGACTTTAAGCTGGGTGGTCCTGATGTCGTAGTCATTGTAGACATATTCCCAGATGGCAATATGAGTTTAGAAGTACCGACCACTTCTCATAATAATAATTTTTCCAAAAGAGTTCTGTGTATTGCTGACACGGCCCATGTCCCTGTACGTGTATGGGCCA